GTGTTCGTCTGTCCGGGTATTTTAACTCGCCAACCACGCAAGCTTTGAAGCTGAAATTTTGCCAGTGTGTCCCCCAGCCAAGTGACACCCCAAGCCGCGGTATCAACTCTCACGCATGTCTGGGCCTCGCGTACGAACAAATGGAAGTTTTGGCGGGAAAATTGATAACTCGGGAACAAGAAAAGCTAGAGAGCTCAAACCTTACGTGAATGTCCCCTGCCCGTGTATGACAAAAAGATTTTTAATCCAGCTCCTCAGGACTGCCCGGGGCTTACGTACGGGCACGTGAAAATTATGGTGGGAAAATTCATAGCTCGAGAATGAGAAAAGCTAGAAAGCTGAAACTTTGGGTGAATGTTCCTTACTCATGTACGAGCAAAATCAGGTGTTTAAAAGCATCCGAGTTCAAGTACGAGCGCGTGGAAGTTTTGGCGTGGAAATTACTAACCTAGGAACGGGAAAAGCTAAAAAGCTGAAACTTTCGGAGAATGTTTCTTACTCATGTACGACGAAAATCAGGTGTTTAGAAGCACCCGGGGCCAACGTACGGGCACGTGGAAGTTTCGGCGTGAACAACCCGGGGACGAAAAAACCAGAAAGCTGAAACTTTAGGGTAATGTTCCCTAATCATGTGTGACCAAAAGATTTCAGATTTAACTCCTCTAGTGTGACCTTTTTTGCGGACCAAAAACTTTCCGTTTGTCGGGTCACTGAAGTCGACGTCTACAACTGACATACCACTCAGTTGCACAATTAACTTCCCGAACTTCGAGGGCCAGTATGTCACAGGGTTAGCTACTGTGATTTCTTGCGACTTTGCTACAGCATGAAAGATGCAAAAACGCATAATCTCACCGGCCCGCCTGGTGCGTTCCAGCCTGCGTTTTTATGCGTTTTTTGCAGCTATGCAATGCAGAAAACGCATATTTTGACGAGAGGTTGTCTGTGTGTCTGTGTGTTCGTCTGTACTGATTTTTCATCTCGAGACCGGCAAAAGCTAAGGGGCTGAAACTTTGGGGGCATAATCTACATGCACGTACAGGCCCTCATCCCCAAAATTAGCGCCGAAACCGGCGTGGTGCCCGCGTACGGGCCCGCCAAAGTTTTTTTGGGGTCAGTTCATAACTCGACGATCTGAGAAGCTAGAAGGCTGAAAACTTGGGGTAATATTCCCCGCCCAAGCGGGTATTAGTGGGCTCAAACCTAACTCCCGGGTAAGCATGGTACCCCCGTACGAGCCCGCCAAAGTTTTTTTCGGGTAAGTCCATAACTCGGGGATCTGAGAAGCTAGAAGGCTGAAATCTTGGGGGAATGTTCCCCGTCCAAGCAGGTGCTAATGAGCTCAAATTCAGCCCCCGGGTAAGCGCGATACCCACATACGGGCCGCCAAAGTCTTTTTCGTGTGAATTGATAACTTAATTACCTGAGTAACTAAAGGAATGCAATTTTAAGAGGATATACCCCGACCACCTAAGTTTCATTCAGTCCGAACCCAGCTGTCAGGTATGCTTGGTAAACATGCACGAGCCCGTGAAAGTTTTGTTCCAGTAAGTTGCTAACTCAGGTGCCAGGGAAGCTAGAAAGCTGAAATTCTAAAGGGAATGTTTTCTGACAGTTCTGGTGGCCAGTCTTAATTTCTTTAGCTAGTTGCGCATATGTCGAAAAAACCGGTGCCGGTAGCAACAAAAACTGCAGGGAACCATGCAAAAAACGCATCTTCGCACGGGCAGCCCGTGCGTTGGCCAGTTATTGGAAATATCCAGATCTTCCGCTCCTTTACTGTCTTTCTGTGCCAAGCGTTC